TTATATATATGTTTATTGGCAACAACCCATTGGACCCGTTGTTAAGTTATTTGGTAGTTTTCAACTATATGCGTATTTAATGTAGTGGTGTAGCTAAAGGGTTATTATGTGCCTTCTCTGCGCTGATCTGCATTTGCAGCCTTTTTTTTTTCTTTTTTTTTTGCAAACTTTCCACACAAATCGCTTACATACGTACTACGGTAGATAACGATGATATGGCCCCAGATGAAATAGTTATCATTGGTAGTGCAAGAAGAAAAATGTTGTTTTCCACAGGTTTTAATATCTAAATAATATGATACGCGCACACAAATAGAAGAATACAAAATTCTCTCTCCTTTATAATTACTTTTTTTTTTTTATTACAATTATCAGTTAATATATGAAGATGAACTATTTTCAGGCCTGGTTCAATTCGTTATTTACTTTACGAAGGCCCGCCGCTTCGCCTCACTATAACTTAAAGTTGCAGTGCGTTTGTCCTTGTTAAAATGATGACATGAATGTAAGTTTAATGTGTTGATGTAGTATGTTGATAAGTTTTGGCTGACCTTGTTAACTTCACTCAGCAACCCAGTTGTCTTATCGGCGAATTTCATCGAGAACAGTCTAAATGTTCCATACTTACTTATCGAAAACAGCGAAATAAGCGTGTTTCTATGATATTTCTATTCCTAATATATCTTTGAGTTACTTACAATGATGGCAGAGGCTAGTAAATGAACATTTTCCTTTCGCTGGGTGCTGGTAGAATAATTATATTATCTTGCAATGGCTCGGTGCAATGGAGACAATGAAACAACCTATTTCCCGTTGGGTGCAAATAGTTTGTCTGGAAATTTTCATAATGCCTAGAATATCTTCGTCAGAAAACGTAGATAATAATTAAATATTATACTTAATAAAGAACGTAGAAAATTATTAAAACATTTATGTAGTAGGTACAAAGATGACACCTGTGGCCTGCATGAGTATTCTGCATTGTCGACAGAATAAAATTGTCCTAATTAGGAATATTAAATTTGCCTCCGGGATGGCAGTTCTTTTAATATGGAATTTAATCAAAAATAGATCTAATTAGTATCGGGACATTTATTATGTGTATATATGTATGAGCTTCGTTGTGAGGGTGCTTTGTACGGGACTGCTGATCAAGTTACTAGCATTTACGATGCTTTACCAGACATAGCCTATCTACCTTCATATACATTCGTTACAAAACTATTAAGGGCTTGTATTTTTAGGTCTTGCAAAGCCCAATATTATAGTGC